TCTTTGAATGGTACAGTGGAAAGAGCATTGACTCAGAAATAAGAGGACCTGGGTTCAAATACGACCTTTGATGATTACTACCTGTGTGACCTTTGAGTAAGTAACTTAACCTTCCTTGTAGCTCAATTCCTCATTTGTAAAATAAAGGGTTGAATTAAACGACCACTGAGGTCTCTTCAAGCTTTAGGTCTATGCTTCTTCAACCTCCAAATTATTCCTAATCAGATCCATTGTTAGACCTTTGTATACTTAGCCAACCCATTATTCATTACTCTTAATAAGTCATATTACTATAAATGCTTTAAAGTTGACAAAGCCTTTTTCTCATAATATTACTGGGATGTAGGTAATTCATTCTCCCTGGAATCTATGACCATCTCCTTTATTTGCCCCCAGACATCACTAAACTTCAGTTTCCTTGTTTTAAAATGTATCATAGGATTATAATTGCAGAGCTGAAAGTAATCCCAGAGACCATCTAGTCCACGTCAGCTCATATTTTATACATAATGAGACCAATACTGAGAAAGAAAAAGTAACTTGTTCATGGTAATAAAGTCAGTATCAGAAGGATAAATGACTTGACCTTAGTCTTGTCTCTCCAACTAGATCTTTACTGAGATCCCTTTTAGCTTTGAGATTTTTAGATAAACATGTGATGGTTCACAGGTAGGTAGAATCTTTTAAAATATGCTTGACAAATAGGCATCTAGTGAATGAAGACCTCTAGTGAGAGAGAATCCATCATCTCCTATAGTCTGCTTTTGGCCAGTTCACAGTAGAAAGAGCCATAAACCTGGGAGTCCTGGGACCCAAGGTCAAGTCCCAGATCTGTGACTTCCAAGATGCATCATCTATATGAAGCCTTTCTTGATCTCCTCAGCTGTTAGTTCCCTCCCTTTCACACTACCTTGTATCCAGTTACTCTGCATTTATTTGTATTTATTCTCTCTAGATTTACTTTGCATATGCTTGTACTTATATTTGTCTTCTCCATTCAAATGTAGCAATTTGTGAGTAGGGATTGTTTTACTCATTTTATTTGTCTCTTCAAGGACCCAGTGCATAGTAGATACTTAATATATACTTGTCAACTTTTTAAATATAACTCTTTATGGCCTGTCTCCAGAATGACATCTCAGCTGTTAGCTTATTCTTATGGTATTTTGTAGAGTCATCTTACCATAGTATCCTGTACATAATCAATTTTTAGATGCTAGATAATAAGGGTTAATGGCTGATCACCAATGCTTAGTACATTGACACTTTTTAAAAAAATTAAGATCTGTAATTTCATTGGTCCAGGGAACTCCAGATGTGAAAACCTGCCCTATCAGTGCAGATTGGTGCTGTTTTCCAACTTATAGTCTTAGGAAATTGCCTGAGATAAGTGACTGGCTCAGGGTCACATTGTTATTATGAATAGGTGGGTGGACTTGAACTAAGGTCTCCTGATTCTAAGGCTCTGTGTTTCCCTTCTCAAAAAGTAATATGCATATTTGAGGGAGCAGTTGATCTCTAACCAATTGCTTCCCCTCTTCTTCCCTTCACTGGTTGATCTATTAGTCCCAGAAAATAATAGACAAATAGTGGCTGGTTTGATCACCAAGGGGTTTGTCTAAAGCCAGGTTCAAGGGATTTCCTGTGGATCTGGACTCCTGATGCCATATATAGCTTATGAGATCTCCACCAGTATACTTCTCCATCAGCATCCAGTTGGTAGAAATAATTAGCTCAAAGCAAGAGCATTCACTTAAAAAGCATTGTAAGAACAGAAGTTACAAAAACATAACTTGCATAATCCTGGAGAATCTTCCCACAAATAAGAGTATCCAATGGAAAGGCAAGTACAAATTGATAATACAGTGGTAGAAAGGTGCATATATAGGGAATGCCTGTGGTCAAGGTAATGTATGCCTCTGTTACTATAGACCCTCACTTTCCTTTCTGTCCTTATGAAGTACTTTGTGCAGGTTGACAATTGATTACCAAGTCTAGTTCTCCCTTGACTCCATGACCATCTTTTATTTGCCACCAGACAGCACATTTCTTGAAACTGCTTCCTCCCTCCAGTCAAGGCCTCTCAGTTTCTGCACCAACCTGGAGTGGTGATACTATTCTACTCCAATTCTCTTAAACTCAGTAACTTACCAATTAACAATTTGGGGGTGTCTCCTACAGGCTAAGCAGTTCTTCTGATAGACAACATGGCCCATGGAGAGGTAGAAAGAAAGGCTCCTCCTTTTCTCTTCTCTGGTATACAGGTTAGGGGTCACTCTCCACAGATCTGCTTTCAGCCTGGACTCAAAACTGGGGAGCTTTAAATTTTTAAAGGGCCATCAGGGACATGGACAATGATTACTTACCTAACCTTACTCTTCCAGTCCCACAGAGGAGAAACTTGTTCAGACTTAAAGGGATAACCAGGCTCAGCTGTATCTTTGCAGTTAAAACTCCTCCTCCTCATCTAACCTTTACTTTTAGCAACTACATAATCTAATGAGGAGAGGGTGAATAATTTAGTCAAATCAACTGCCCATTCCTATATTCTCCCCCTAGTTAAACATTTGTTGTCTCCAGCAAATTAGTTTAAACTAGGGGTGCTTTTCAAAGTTTGATATCCCAAATACTGGAATAACTCTCTAGTCATTTGGGAAGATAAACATTATCCTTTGAAGTGCCTTATACAATAGAGTCTCTCCAAAGTCCATGTGGCAAAGTTCCTAAGTAGTTTGGGAATTTACAGTCTTCCAGGCAGTGTGGTATAAGGGATAGAGCATTGAATGTTGAGGCAGGATTTGAAGTCAGGTTTTCTACCTGACATTTACTAGCTGTGTGACTCTGGGAAAATTATATCTCTGACTCTCAATTTCTTATCTGTAAAGTGAGGATAATATTGGCACCTAGCTCACAGAGGTATAAGGCTAAAATGAGACAGTACATTTAAAGCACTTTGCAAACCTTAAAAAAACCTAAATAATATTAGATATCATTACACTAGGAGGCAGCTGGACGGCTCAGTAGATAAACCACTGGGCATGCAGTCAGGAAGGCCTGAATTCAAATTCTACCTCAGACAATTACTAGCTGTGTGATCCTGGGCAAATCACTTAACCTCTGTTTGTTTTAATCCATTGGAGAAGGAAATAGCCATTTCCAGTATTTTTGCCAAGAAAACTCCATGGATAGTATTGGCATGCTATGCTGTCCACAGGGTCACCAAGAGTTGGACATGACTGAACAACAATAACAAATCATAGGGGGCAGCTAGGTGGCAGCTAGGTGGCACAGTGGATAGAGCACCGGCCCTGGAATCAGGAGGACCTGAGTTCAAATGTGACCTCAGACACATAATACTTCCTAGCTATGTGACTGTGGGCAAGTCACTTAACCCCAATTACCTCACTAAAAAAACCAAAAACAATAACAAATCATACACACATATAGGTGGTTTTATGATTTCAGTAAGCAGATAGCATTTTGCAACATTCTCATAGGTTATTGTTTTTGTTCTTGCACAAGATTACCCTAACCCAAAGAAATACGGGGGAAAAAAAGCAATCAAACCTTCCCCTCACTATCTCCTTCCCCCCTCCCGCTTCAAAGAGAAAATCTAGTCAGGACTCATCCCCCAAAAGGGATATAGACCTGGAGTTAACTGAAAATCACTCCTTCACCCTTCAGCTAACTCCTGAATTGATAGATGGGGTGTCTCTTACTGGGCAAGCAGTTATTCTGGTAGATAACATGGATGATGGGGAAGAGGGAGGAGAAAAGCTACAAACCTCTCCTTATGCTTGCGGATATAGGCAAAGGGGTCACATTTCACAAAGCTGCTCCCAGCCTATACTCTCACCTGACTAACTTTCAGGCTACATTATTTGCCTTCTTGGCTGGTAAACTTAGTTACTTGAAGGCCTCCTGGGTGTCCATTTTTCAGCCAGCCAATCTCATGTAGTTAGAGCACTCCATAGAGATGGCATATGAATATGCATGTATGTGTATGCATATACCTACCTTGCACGTGTACATTTTACCTGTTTGCATGTGTATATTGCATGTGATTGCTCTGCAATCTTTGGGGGGAGGTAAAGGGTGAGCTTTGCTTATAGCCTCCTCCCCAGAGGGTTACCTGCTGTGCCAACATAATGGGGCAAATTACAACTTTGCTACACGCCTAGGAGGTTAGAGCTGCCTTGAGCTTTCTTGAGGTCGGGATCCAGAATACAGCTGCACTCCAGGAAGAAGGGAGGGGGTTGATGGCCCAGGGCAGCCTGTTGGCTTTCTGGACACTTGCCCGTTAACTTTTCCATAGGATCTTCCCATCTTGCCTCCAAGACCTGAGTTCTCACAACCACTGTTTTTGGGATGCCAAGCTTTGTGAATCAGGCTTCAGGGACTCTCATTGTCCACTTTACACCCAACACAAACACCTCCAGTTTCCTCCATGTGGATTTTCTCCCTCCTTGTCTCTTCTTGGCCAAATTTTAGAAATCAGGATGGAATGTTTTCTCCCTTGATCTACTATGAATTCCTAAGTGTGTGTCAGTGTGTTTAACCTTGTTATTGTTCTCATTGCAAACTCCTAGGGTGGATTTCCATCCCTGAGTTGGATGGGGAAAGTATCGCCTAATTCCAAATTCCATGTATGTGTACATGGTGTATAGGTGGTGAATAGGTCTATGTGGATATGTATGTATTTACATATGCATCTTTTTGTGGTTGGAGCACTGCATGGATATGGTGGAGGGATGGATGGTTCGGGCAACCTCCAAATTCTGGGTCAAAGCCGTTCCGCTCTCGCTCCCAGGAAGGGGCACCCTGCTCCCTACGCTCAAAGCCAGACCTCTAGGGTCTCCATTCTTCTAGTGGTAGAGGCTAAAACCCGGAGGCAGAGCGGCGGCGGCGTAGATCGGAGCAGGATCGGCGCCTACAGCCCTCCAAACTCCCGATCTGCCGCGAGGCGGCCACTGAGCATGCTCCGAAGGCTGGGGGCGACTCCGCTCGCGGAGTAGGGAACTACACAGCACGGCGCGCGCGCGCCTCCATGACCCACGGCGGCGGCGGCGGTGAAGGAGGAGGAGGAGGTGGCGGCGGCAGCGTCCCGGACGACACGCGTCCGGCTGGTGCGGGAGCTGCCGGCCTGTAGCGAGCCTGCACTGGGCCCTGACCCCGGACCCGGGGCCCCGGATCCCAGGGCTGACTGGCCCGCCGGGTGAGTAGCGTCCGTCCACATCGCCGCGCGGCCCGCATCCAGGCTTTCACACCGGCCAGGCCGTTCTTTTAAATGGCGGAGGCCCCGGCCGGGCTGTGGCCGCCGAGGAGACCCCTGCGCGGGGGGCCGGCCTCGGAGCCCCGCTGGGGCCTGGCCGCGTGCGGCCCAGCCTCCCCGGGAGCCCACGGACGCCCAGCCCGCAGTCCAGGCCTAGGAGCTCGGGCTCCGCCTCTGCCACTTCTCCGGCCGAGGCGGGCGGGGCCGGCGCCGGCCCGGGCCGGGGCTGCAGGAGAGCTGACGGCCGGGAGGGGCAGCAGCGGCCCGGCGAGCGCGCCCTCCCTGGGCTGGGACCGGCATCGGTGCGGGCCAGGAGGAGGAGGAGGAGGAGGAGGAGGAGGAGGAGGAGGAGGGGGCGGGAAAAAGACCTCGACAGCTGTCACTCGTGTGCTGGGGCCCACGGAATTTTCTGCCCGGACTGCAGCGAACCGCGATCTCCAGGCCCGGGCTTTGGCTGCCGCATCCCAGCCTTCTCCAGTGAAGTTGCAGATGGGGTGAAACCCCCGCTCCCTCCTCCCGCTTTTCAGTCTTCGGGGTCGGGGAGGTGGGTTAAGGGGTGAGCCTTGTTCGAGTTGTAGCCTGTTCCCCGAAAGGCTTCCTGCTGTGCCATCGTAATGGAGCGAATTGCAGCTTTATCAGTTGCCTGGGACGAGGTTAGAGCTGCCTTGAGCTCTAATACTGCCAGAATACAGCTGCACTCCAAGAAGGGAGGGGACTGGGGGCCCAGGGCAGCCAGTTGGCTTTCCGGGCACCTGCCAGTAAACCTTTCCAAAGGAGCTTTACATCTTTGCCACCAAGACCCGGCGTTCCTACCCAATCTCCTTGGGATGCCAGGCTTTGTGAACCAGGCTTCAAAGGCACTCATTGTCCACCTTCCACTCAACACAAACATCTCTAATTTCCTACATCTGGATTTTTTCCTCCTCTCGGTTCTTCTTGGCCAAGTTTTAAAGATCAGGATGGAATGTTTTTTCCATTGATATATCATCTATTGTGAATCTCAACCAATCTCTCTCTCTCTCTCTCTCTCTCTCTCTCTCTCTCTCTCTCTCTCTCTCTCTCTCTCTTCTCTCTCTGTCTCTCTCTCTCTCTCTCTGTGTCTCTGTCTCTGTCTCTCTCTCTCTCTCTCTGTCTCTCTCTGTCTCTGTCTCTCTCTCTCTCTCTCTCTCTCTCTCCCCCCCTCTCCCTCTCTCCCCCCTCCCCCCCCCCCCCCTTCCCCTCCCCTCCCCTCCCCTCCCCTCCCCCCTCCCCTCCCTCCCTCCCTCCCCCTCCCCCTCCCCTCCCCTCCCTCCCTCCCCCCCCCCCCTCCCCCCCCCTCCCCCCTCCCTCCCCTCCCCTCCCTCCCTCCTCCCCCCTCCCCTCCCTCCCCTTCCCCTCCCCTCCCCTCCCCCCCTCCCCCTCCCCCCCCCCCTCCCCTCCCCTCCCTCCCCCTCCCCCTCTCCCACTCTCCCTCTCCCTCTCCCTCTCCCTCCCCTCTCCCCCTCTCCCTTGTATCTCTGTGTATTACTGTTATATCTCTTAAACATTGCGAACTCCTAGGGTGAATTTCCGTCCCTGCATTCGATGGGGAAAGTAATCACCCAATTCCAAGTAGGATTGATACCATTTAAAAGCATCATATATACTACGTGGGAGGTAAGTGTTGACATTTTTGGTTTTCATCGCTTTAAAATACAGATTGCTTTCTAGCTTAAAGTAGGCTCCAGATAAAATATCAAACAAAAAATAAAATTTTATTTTTTCATTCAATTCTTTACCCTGGCATATTATTGACCATTTCATAGTGTAGAGAACTGCTGGTGAGGAAACTTCCTTATCTCACTCCCTCTGTTGACCTTATAGACTATTAAGTCCTTATTCTTTTGTATCTTTTTGAATAATGTATATATTTTTTTGCATACAGGTACTGAACTTTGAAATAACTTAACCTGACATAACCATTCTAGGAACTTGTCAAGTGTGTGAGATTTCAGCATTTACCTCACTAGTACAAGAATGCATATTGTCATGAAGCATTATAATGTCAGATTTGTTCAGAATCCAGTGGGATTACATATGTTAAAAAAAAAAAAGCAAAAGCTATTTAGTGTTAAAATTGTATTTAATCTAAAAGGTGAGCCGTTTACAATGAGGTGAAATGTATTTCCTACAAAGGAAAAACAGGAAAAAGCTGAAGTATGTAATCATGGATATTATCTTTTGATAAGAAAGTTAAAGTAAAGATATAAGAAGTGGATTTCTTCTTGATCTCCCAAGTATGTATTCCATTACTTATTATAATATAATAATAATAATAATAATATAATAATAAAAGCTGACTTATAATAATGATAATAATAATAAAAGCTGACATCTGTATAGGTTTTTATGAAACACTTGACTCAGTAATTCCATAATGTAGACAGCATTCACATTAGCTGGAGCTCGCTTTCTGAATTTGAATTCCCTCATTAAGTGTCTTTCCTAGGGTCACCCTGCTTGAATCTAGGTCTCTATACTCCCAATTCCAATTCTTCCAGTATGCCACATTGTATTTGTATACCATATCTGTATGATCTTAGAGCATGTTATGCTACTTTTTTCATTTCATGAGATTCAAGATTATATAACCATATTTTATGAGAAAAGTAGTTTGAGGGAGAAATAAATCCCAAATTAGCAGAAAAAAATATTATGTCTTGTTTAAAAATGGAAATATTGATTTTTTTCCCATTTTAATTACATGGAAGATCATTGTTAGGTTTCCGTAGATCATGAAAAATGAAAGCGATATTTTTGTTTTTATTACGTGTATAATACTTTTTGATGCTCCCTAATGTTTCTTCATCTCCTAGGATTCTATGATCTTCAGGGTATAATGAGTATTAACTGCCATTTTTCCCTTCCCTAAATTAATCTTCTTTATAGATAAATATGTTCCTTCTTCCAAACACATTTTAATCTGAACGGGGGTCAATATTACTGAAAGGAAATGTGCATTACTTCTTTGTAATTACTTCCTTGTCAGCTAGGTGGCACAGTGGATAGAGTGCTGGATTTGGAGTCAGGAACATCTTAGTTCAGATTTGGCTTTACCTTTTAGCTTTAGCTTCTGCTTGCCTCAGTTTCCTCAACTATAAACTGAGCTTTAAATAGCAACTACCTCCCAAGGTTGTTGTGAAGATTAAATGAAATAATATTTATGACACAGTGCCTGGCACATAGTAGTTGTTTAATAAATGTTTATTCTGTTTTTTCCATGTAGTGGCAGTTATCAGGGAATCAATTTGTTTTAAATTAAGTACTTCCTTCATTAAGGGTCCTTTTCTAAGCAACATGGGGTACATAGTTTAAGAAGTCACAGTCCTGTCCTCTGAGGATATATGATCTACATCATAACCAGTGAATGTCAGTATCTGTATTTCAGGGGGTAAAATGCTAGGGGGTACCAAATTAATTTGACAGAAGCTCTAGATTGTACAATATTTGTTAATCATGAATGATTATCAGGCTCTGTTTCTTACCAAAAACAGCCTGATTCCTTTACATTTTTGAACTGTGTTCATGCATACATATATCTGCATATGTATATTTTCCTATCTAATAATGCTTTTCGTAATAGCCCACAAGAGTTCATGCTCTACATTTAAGACTTTTCATAAGAGGTAGAGGCATTATATTTTTAGTTAATATGCTGTTGTCCAAATAATGAGGCAATTCTCTGGTACTTGCCATCTGCCCCAACTCTGCCTTTACCTCTGCGCATCACTGCTCTGTGGCTCTCCTTGCTTATATTACAAATAGCATAGTGGAGAGAGCTCTGGTCTAGGAGTCAGAAGACCTAGGTTTGAATCCTTGCTCTATTAGTTAGCTAGATATGAAATTTAGACACAATTTCTGAATCTGTTTCCTTATCTATAAAATGGAGATAATTATTAACAACCTTAGACAGATAGATGGGTCTGCAGTGGAATGGGTCTGGAGTCAGGAAGACCTGAGTTCAAATTTGACCTCAGACACTTCCTAGATGAGTTACCCTGGGCAAGCCACTTAACCCCTGCCTCAGTTTCCTCAACTGCAAAGTGGGAATAATAATAGAACCTGCTTCTCAGGATTGTTGGGAGATCAGATGAAATGAATAATTGTAAATTGTTTAGCATGGTACCTTGTACTCATGCTATGTAAGTGTTAACTGTCATGTTATTATTGCTTAACTCAATTTTTGTGTAGATCACATAATGTAAGTGAAATTATTTTCTAAGTTGTAATGCACCATAAAACTGTAAGCTCTTAATGACTGCTGTGACCTCTTGGACCTAACGGATTTGAGTCAGTTATGTGTGAGAGAGAGAACAGAAAGGAGAGAAAAAAAGAATAGTCAGGCCATTAAGAGCTGGAACAAAGATCATCACATCCATCTCATAGCTCATGAAATTGGGTCCCAAAGAACAAGTTTCTCAAAGGTGACAAACCTAGGTAATAGCAGAGGTGAGATTTGAGTCCAAATTTTCTCTCTCATTTTAGCACTTTTTTGCTATACCATTGCCTTTGGGCGTACATAATGGTTGATCATAACCATTAACAGCATGCCATGTAATCTCTGGAATGATAGGCACTTCCCATAGAGGCTTGTGGCATTGTCCTTTGTTGTTTTGTCTGACATGACAAAGCTAGCCTAGCCTAGTTTTCTGACACTTGTGCTGGTGCTTTTCCAATCACATAACTGCTTCTTAGTTCACTAGATACAGAATAACATCCAAATTATCAGTGCTATAGGAGGTAAAGTAAGTGGGACATGGCCTATTTGATTCTGGAGATGGAGATCACCTAAAAGTTGATCAGTTAGGCAAATTCATTTCCTAGCTGTTGAATTTTTAAAAATTGGTCCTGGGAGATGTGAAATGATCACTATTTAAAATTCTTGTTTTTGCTGCTTGATACTAAGTAGAAACTTAGTGTACCTT